ATCACCATGCCACCTGCCAGCTCCCATTTATTTATTTTATTTATTATTTTAAAATTTTTATTTATTTATTTATTTTAATTTGTTATGATTATTTATTATTGCCATTTTTAATTAGACCAAAGAAACAGAGAAAGACAGGGAAAGTTAGAAAGCAAGCAACCTGGTCTGGGACTTGAACCACGGTTGTTCATGTGAGAGTTCAGCACCCAACCACAAAGTTTTTGTAGTTGTACTCTTGATATTTACTTAATGCAGAATTTCTTTAAGTAGGAGGCCTCTTAGTGCTTTTTAATTATGGTACTGTTTACACGGAAAAACAAAATGCACACAGGTTTTCAGGAATGTAGCTGTTGTGTAAAGTGAGATGGAACTACAGGTTGAAAGGAAGCCAGATTATCCCCTTTGTCAGCAAGGAGTGGTACTCTGTAAACACAGGCTGGAAAACAAAACACCTACCTCCCCACTCCTCCCCCAGGAGAGCAATAATTTCCTTATTTAGTTTCTCAACCAGGTGTCCAGATGAGATTCAAAGACTACCGTGAGTGGTTTGTTTCAGTTGCAGTAAAAATATTGGAATTTGGGGATGATTTGCTTTCATCATGTATTTGAGATAATTAAGGTCATTCTCATGCCCAGGCACTCCCTGTGCTTGTGGGAGCCCAGCAACAAAGACAGGACAAAGGGATGTGCAGGTTTGGAGGTGACGAGGAGGGGAAGGAAAGTGCAGTCCTTTCTCCTCTTACCTACTGGGAGAGATTCAATAGGTTCCTCTCCAGTCTGCAGAGGACAGCCAGAGTGCCTTCATTGACGCCACTTTGTGCTTATCGCTGCCACAGAAGCAACAGGGTATGTAAATTTGCTGCAGTACTGCAGCATCTTAACAGACAAGAAACTTGAACGTATTGATCTGATGAGAAAGGACAATGTAAAATCAGATGTGGTTCTTTAAATTCACTACAAAATTAGTAACATCTTTCTGTTTTTTAGTTATAAAAGCTACCAGGTCGATTTTAAGTATGTCTTATTACAGATGTCCTGTCAAAAGTTGTGGTAATATAATTTCTGAATACTTGATCAGCAATATTGGGTATTTCATATCCTTTATTGATAAAATTGATTGAAAGAGCCTTGACAATTAGGTTCATATTGCTCCCATACAGGGTTTCAAAAATCACCTACTCCCTCAAACTGCTGTTTAATGCAAGTGATTAGAATAAACTAATTCTGCTCACATCTTCCTGAGCATTGCCAAGTCCTCCCCATGTATCCCTGTGTCCTTCTAACGTTCTCAGGCTGAGAGAATATGTCTGATGGAGCCAATGTCATAGACTTGGATTCTCCTTTAGCCTACGTCTTGAAGGCAGGGAGGGGAAGACGCTGGTGTAGACCAAAAGTAGTTTGATCCCTGTTCTTCAATCTATATTCCTTCCAGATCTTTCCCATGACTGAAGCAATGTGGTAACCAGCTGTAATCAGTTTGATTATAGTAGATATTGATTTGAATACTTTAACTCCTGTTTTTTTTTTTTTTTTAATAGAGGTTTTTGTCATAGGATGCATACACTTGCTGGAGAAAGACATAGACAGTGAGAAGGAAAGTGAGAAATTTTCCCCCGGGGGAATGGCCACACTGGGATCCCTACTTCTCCATTCTCCTCCTGGGATCTTGGGCACATGCATACAAGTGCCTGGTGTGAATTTCAAGCCACCAGGTCTGGGACTTGAATCACAGTTGGATTTGTGGCAGTTCAGCAACATAACCACTATGCCACCTGCTGGTCCCACTCTTGTGGTTCTTTGACAGTTCTTTTCTGCAGCTACTTTACCCTAGAGAGCTCTTAGGGATTCTAGCCTCATCAAAATTGAATTCCAAATTTTATGACTGCAGAAACAGGTAGGACAGGCCAGGGCCTACTCAAAAGCATTTCTGGAGGGCCAGCAGGTGGCATGGTGGTTAAGAGCGCTGGACTCCCTCATGGCCAACCACATTTTGAATCTTGGACCCAGTGGCTTGATTTCTCACTCCCACCCCCTCACTCTATCCCTCTCTGGTCAAGTTAAAATAAATAAATAAGTAAATAAAGTTAAATAAAAATAGTTATTTAAAAAATAAAAGTATTTTGGGACCAGCAGTTAGTGTAATGGCTATGTCGCTGGACTCCCATGTAGTCAACCACGGTTCGCGTCCCAGACCCGGTGGCTTAAAACTCACGCCGGGAGCGTGTGCGTGCGTGCCCAAGATCCTGAGAGGAGAATGGAGAAGGGATTGCGGCATGGCCATCCCCCCTGGGGGATGATTTATCGCTTTCTGTCTCTCTGTCTCTGTCTGTCTGGTGAGCGCACATGCCCTATAGCAA